ACAGCAGAGACTCTGGCAACAAGGGCCATTGCTCAAGGGTCAAGGGCAACAGTGCTGGGGTGGATGAAGCAACCACGTTTCCAGGCGCACGGGATGTTGCCCTGAGACAGCACGGCCTCTTAGTCTTTGGAGGAGCAGTGGGTAGAGGCGCCTGCCATGGCCTAGATGGTCAAACGGTTGGTTAGATTTTTGAGTGTTAATATGTTTTCAAGACCAGTAGCTGGGGTTGGCAACTTACAAGTGGCCAAGCCTGATAAGGTGTGAGCCAATGCGCCCGAGAAAGTGGCGTTCATTGCAAATCCTCACATGTGGGAGCTGATAAGATCCACTCTTTGTGTGTGTTTAATTGCATTTATTTATGTTTACATATTTGTTACAGAGGTGAGGGGATTGTAGACCAATGCTGGCCTCTGGGTGGGATGGGAAGGAATCAGAGAAGGGAGATCCATTCTTAAAACACCCAAAATAAAGGAAAAAAATATTGAGATTTTGGACCTCAAGCATCCTGTAGCAAACTAGCTAAGCATTTGGAGTCATTTTAAAGTCTTATGTCACAACAAAAATAATTTTCTCACACTTCTGAAAGCTGAGAAGTTCACGTTCAAGGTGCTAGGAGATTCGGCATCCGGCCAGAGCCCACTTCCTCTTTCACAAATGGCCGTCTTTACAACGATCTCACGTAGTGCGAGGACGAGGGTCTCTCAGTGACCTCGTTTTCATCTTTAAAATACGTGTTTTACAGAGAGGCAGAGAAAGGTCTCCATCTTCTGGTTTCTTCCCTCCTTGCCTCAGACAACCATGGCTGCCATGTGGGTAGCAGGAAGCTCCCTCCTTGAGCCATCTCTTGCTGTGCCTAGGCTGTGCATTAGCAGGAAGCTGGGACTGGGAACAGAGATGAGATTGAAACTCAGGCACTCCTGTATGACATTTGGATGTCCGAAGCAATGCCCTCCCCCATGTTTACTTTTATTGGAAAAGTAGATTTTACAGACACACACACGCATACAATCTTCCATCCACTGAGGCTGGGTTGGTTAGAAGTTGAGAGCCAACAGCTTCTTCCAGGTCTCCCACATAGGTGCAGCGGTCTGAGCACCTGGACCGTGCTTTGCTGCTTTCCCAGGCTATCATCAGGGAGCTTGATTGAAGTGGAACAGTGGGGACTTGAACTGGCACCTACCTGAAATACTGGCACTGTAGGTGGAGACTTAGCCTCCTATGTCACCTCACATAATGTCGTAATTGCTGCACCCACTGCCTGCCCTGGATGTCTCCAATGAGGGTGTTATTCCTATTCATGAAGTCATCATCCTCATGACACAGCTATCTTTTAAAGACCTCACTTGCGAGCATCACCATCGTGGGATGCAGGATTTCAATGTATGTATTTTGGAAAGCACATAGGCACAGTGACTGTGATACCCAGTACATCTCTGCTCTTCTGGTCCTGGGATCATCTCTAGTTAAGTCACCATGGTAACTGTTTTCTTCTGTCACTTGTTACTGAAAGAAACCTACTGAAAGTTCAAGATCAAGGTGCATATGCTCTTCTCGCTGCCTACATGGCAGAAAAGAATGCTTCATGTTTGGCCAAAGTCAAATTACTTTCCAAATTGCTTTCTTGTTTCCCATCTCTGCACTGGATCTTTCCTCCGGGTAAGTGGACACTGAGAATTCGTCCTTTCATGAAGGAATCCATTGCAGACCAGCGGCAGTTGGGGCTTGGGTCGGGATCCCCTATGAGAACCCAGCAGCTCTCGTAAGCTGCTTGAGAGGTACTTCCGGGAGTCTTTCTGTTATACAACCCCATCAGCCCACAGAGGAAGAGAGACACACTTTTGGGAAGTCCATGTTTACACAACGTGCTCTCATCCTGCAGCAAGTTCCTGAGGTACATATTTAACTTGTACTCTTCAAAACCATGAAGTGAATTCTACTCCGTCAGATGGAGTTGGTGAAGCTGTCCTGAGAAAGAACAAACCAGATCCCATGGGAAATTAGTGGGAAACACAGCCTGCTTTCCCGCCTTCTCACAGGGGGTTTGTACCTGGCTAGATTCCATCTGTCCACTTTTAGGTGAAGTAGGTCTTTCATTCACCTATTTTAGAAAATTTTAGAATTTTCTGTTTTTCTAATTTTCTATTGATTTCAAAGGGAGGGGAGTGGAGGACAGAGAGCAATATCCCCCGTTTCCTAATTTCCTAATTTCCTTTCCAAATGCCTGCCACTGCCTCAGAGGGGTCAAGGTGACACACTGCAGTCGGTCGATCCAGATCTAACCTGGAGAATTTTTTTTTCCAAGATATATTCTCTTTTTTATTGGAAAGGCATATTTACAGAGAGAAGAGACAGAAAGATCTTCCATCTGTCAATTCATTTCCCAAGTGGCCACAAGGCTGGAGCTGAGCTGATCCAAAGCCTGGCGCTTCTTCCAGGTCTCTTATGTGGGTGCAGGATCCCAAGGCTTTGGGTCATCCTCAACTGCTTTCCCAGGTCACAGGTAGGAAGCTGGATGGGAAGTGGGGCTGATGGGATTGGAACCGGTGCACACTTGGGATCCTGGCGCATGCATGGTGAGGAGGTTTTAGGCTACCACACTGGGCCCCTTGCTCTACTTCTGATTCAGCTTCCTGCTAAGGGTCAGTGAAAAATCAATAGAAGACAGTCCAAGTACTTGGGCCACTGCTACCTGTGTGGGTCTCTGCGATGAAGCTCCTGGCTTCCAGCTTCTACCTGGCCCGGGCTGCTCACCAAGACCATCTGGGCTGTGAACCAGCAGCTAGAAGATCCTTTGCTGTCTTGTCTTTACCCTCTCTCTGTGTAATCTGACTTGAAGATCATTAAACCTAAGAAAAAACAAAAACAAAACAAAACAAAAAAACCCAACAAAAAACAAAACACAACACAAAAAGAAAACAACAAAAAATAAACAAGAAAAATCACTAAACTTGAAAAAAAACTCAAAAAAAACTGCACAGCAGATGAACAGTAATATATATTTTGTCATCTATAAAGGTAAATGTTTTCTTCTGCAACTGAGATGTTCAACAATCCTGGAGAAATCATAAAATATGAATGTATGAGATTTAAAATTATGGTAAAAACTTAAAGTTGTCTCCCAACAGCCAGTGCTGCTTCTGTCTGCAACACTGAAATTACCTTTTTTTTAGCCTCCTTTGCATTTTACTGGACTAGGTTTTTGCCAACAGGAGGAAAGCAGAAATGGTACCTCCAAGATTCTTTTTTAAGATTTATTTATTTTATTGGAAAGTCAAATATATAGAGAGGAGGAGAGACAGAGAGAAGGTTCTTCCATCTGTTGGTTCATTCCCCAAGTGACTGTAGCAGTCAGAGGTGAGCTGAGCTGAGCTGAAGCTAGGAGTCAGGTGTCGCCCATGCGGGTGCAGGGTCCCTAGGTTTTGGGCTATCCTTGACTGCTTTCTCAAGCCACAGGCAGGGAGTTGGATGGGAAGTGAAGCAGCTGGGACAGAAACCATGTCCATATGGGATTCCAGAGACAGAGACGGAGATCCTCCATCTGCTGATTCACTCTCCAAATGTCCACAGCGGCTCTAGGGCTGGGCTAAGCCAATGCCAGAAGCCAGGAGCCATTTCTGGATCTCCCATGTGGGTGCAGGGGCCCCAGGATTCACACCATCTTTTGTGCTTTCCCAGGTACATTAACAGGGAATGGGACTGGATACGGAGCAGCCAGAACTCCAAAGCTCATTGGGGATGCTAGCACAGCAAGTGCTATGCCATTATGCTACAGCATCCATCCCATACACGGTTCTTACAGGATGGCCCATTTCAGAAGGCAGTTGTCCAGCAAATACTTATCAAACACCTAAATCCTAGCACATGCATGTATAAGATTTATAGCAGTAATACCATCCAGGATAACATTTTGTAATTTCCACAACATAGAATGTCTTATTTCACTTAATCTCAGTTAAAATAGTTTTAAAAATATATACTTAGTACACTTGAAAGGCTGAATTGCAGAGAGAATTCTCCATCCACTGCTTCATTCCCCAGATGCTTGCCACAGCTGGGATTGGTAAGTGATATAAGTCGCAGCCTGCATCCACTGCACTAGTACACTGACCCTTAAAATGTCTTTGGATGCCTGCATTTACCCAGCATGATTCCGCCACACAGTTAAGTGGCATTTAATGTCCTGTAGGGGGCTGGTGCCATGGCATAGCACTGGCCTCCTAAATGATGCTGGCTCGTGTCCAGCTGTTCCGCTTGTCACCCAGCTCCCTGCTTGTGGCCTGGGTAAGCAGTGGAGGATGACCCAAAGCCTGGGGACCCTGCACCCACCTGGGAGACCTGTACAAAGCTCCTGGCTGACTTCTCGCACATGTCCTTGTGGGTATTTGGGGAGTGAACCAGCAGATGGAAGATCTCTCCCTCTCTCTGCCACTCTGCCTTTCCAATAAAAATATATGCCATTTAAAAAAAAATTCAAGAGGGGCACGTTTAAAGGAGACACCAGTTTGGGGTGGACGGGCGGGGACAGATCAGAGGTCTGGCTCATTGCACTGGCCACCTCGGCTAGCCCGGGATGAGCCCTGTTTCTGAAGGGGCGGAGACTGGGAAACGCCACCTCTCAGGGCCTTGAACGTCCGGGCAGCTAGCCCTTGGGCCAAGGAGACTCCGTCCTCTGGGTGTCGGGTAGCGGGCGCACAGGTGGCTCAGGAGTTCTGGAGGTGCAGTCCACAGGACAGGTAAGAAGCTAAGTTACACCTGAGGCGCCCGGTCTGGAAACGCCACCGGCCGCGGCCCTCGGGCCACGCCCAGCCCCTCCGTCAGGAGCTTCCCGCACACCGATTGGTCAGTGCCAGCGTCTCCCAACAGTCTGCCCCGCCCCCAGTGCCCTGCTCCGCCCCCGCCGGCTACTTGCTGCACTGTGATTGGTTCCCGCGGTGCTCATGGCGCCCTAGCCCCGCCCCCGGCGTCCTGGCCGCGCCGCCGGCTGGCCCGCTCCCGGTGTACCCGGCTCTGAGGTGGAGCGGAGGACGCCGCGGCCCCGCCAGCCGCGGCCCGCTTCCTCCCCGCGCGCGCACGCACGCACGCCGGGGCGTCGGAGGAAGCCGGGTGAGTGTGGAGCTCCGAGGGACGCCCGGGGCCGGGGCTCGCGCGCCGTCTGCGCAGGGACTGGCACCCCCGGGGTGGGCCCGGCCATCGCCGCCCGGCCTCCGCCCTCTCCTCCCGGGCCCTCTGCGCCCTGGCCTGGCGGAGGCGCCGTCCTAACCCCCGCCGCTCGCCCTCGGTCGGGGCAGGCCGCAGTGCCCCCCGCCTGGCCCCTCCGAGAGCGGGTCTGGCTGGACATCTTCCCCGGGGTGCGGAGTTGGGGGACAGAACGGTCCGCCCGGGACGTCCTTGCTGCGGCTGCCAAAGTCTGAGGGGTCCCGGCTGGGACTCGGTCGGCCCGTGACCCGAGGACTTAATCCTGACTCCATCAAGTAGACGTGGGGAGGAACTGAGTGCTTTGGGCGATGGATGCTGAGTGTTGGGTGTCCTTCTGGCTGGCCCTGGGCAAGGCCAGTCCGCTTTGTAACCTTGACTTCCGAGTTGCCTCTGGCAGGTGCTCTTACGGGAAGGGTAAATACACTCGGGTGACCTTTTCAGACGCGAGTGGTGCGATGGAATGTTCCGGCTCGTGGCCGCCCTGATACCCAGGTGCCCAGCTGCGGTGGCCAGAGGGGCGCAGTGGCAGGGCATGTCATGCAGCCGCGTGGTCGCGATCGGTGGTGATCACACTCGGGGTGTTGCCTGTTGGAGCGTCAAGCCTCTCCATCCATTCATCCATCCTACCATCCATCCGGCTTGTGCTGTCCACCTCGTTCTTGACATTCCCAGACCCCACCCTCTCTTTTTCTCCGTCATCTTTCGCTTCCTGCATGGACTTTAGACTAAAGGGAAGTTCAACCTTTTGATCCAGAATACTGTTGCATGATAATGCATCCTTAAAGTGGAAACCAGAAGCGATACTGAATCTCGATGCTGGGTGGTGGGGTGAGAAAGCAGGTTTAATAAAGTGCAGAAGGAAGATGTAGTTTTCCTCTTCCGGAAACACACCCTTCCTCCCCCGTTCCTTCTCCTCTCCCTCTGCCAGCTAGGATGACAGCGACCTTAACAGGCTGCACTTTTCCAAATTCACTTTGGGGCTCCAAGATACAGAATTTATCTTTGTACTTGTTTGACTTTTTAAATGATCAGTCATTTTCAGGTTGCAAAAAGTAGCTTAAGCATTGCAGAAGAATATCGAATTCAGGCAGTGTAGAAGTATACCACGCTAGACGCATTCCTCTCTTCTCCCTGTGTCCTTGATCCCACCTTCTGTACCTTGATGTTGTTAAGCCTGTCATAGAATGAATGCGATGTTTCCAGAGTGGAATGTATAGACTTTGTTATAATTTTAAATATTGGGGAGTCACATAGAGGGAGAGAAAAAGCTCTTATTTTCTGATTCACTTTCCAGATGCCTTCAGGGGCCAAGTGTGGTCCCAGCCAGGACCTCAGTCCAGGGATGCCATGTGGGTAGCAGGTACCAGTGACCTGCTGCCTTCCAAGGTTTGCTCTCGCAGGAAGCCACAGCCAGCAGTCAGTCCAGGTGCTGCAGGTGGGCCCAGGCAACGTACTGCACGCACACGCAACTGCATGCTTTGAATCTCCACCCCAGCATACATTTACAGAATATTATTGCCTGGTAGGCGTAGTGTCCTCCACCAGATTAAAAAAAATAGACAGCAAGTAACAAATGTTTATACACCTTTCCCAGAGCTAAGCTCTATCAGTTTTTGTAACAAATATTCTTTTGCTTTTTATTATTTTTGCTGTTTTTAAAAAGATTTATTGTTATTGCAAAGTCAGATATACAGAGAGGAGAAGGGACAGAGAGAGAAGAAGTTCTTCTGTCCAATGATTCACTCCCCAAGTGACTGCAATGGCTGGTGCTGTGCCGATCTGAAGCCAGGAGCCAGGAGCTTCTTCTGGGTCTCCCACACGGGTGCAGGGTCCCAAGGCTTTGGGCCGTCCTCAACTGCTTTCCCAGGCCACAAGCAGGGATCTGGTTGGGAAGTGGAGCTGCCGGGATTAGAACCGGCACCCTGTGGGATGCTGGTGCATTCAAGGTGAGGACTTTAGCTGCTAGGCTACCGTGCCGGGCCCTACACTGGTCACTCTTACTTTTTAAATTAACACATATAAGGATGCTTCAAAGTGTTTATTGAAAATAGAATTAAAATATAAATTTATTTTGGTGCAAGACTTTTTTTTTAACATTTATTTTTTATTGGGAAGGCAATCTACAGAGAAAAGGAGAGGCAAAACTTTTCCACCCACTGGATCACCCCAGATGGCCGCAATGGCTGGAACTGAACCACTTCAAAGCCAGGATCCTGGGGCCAGGAGCTGTTTCTGGGTCTCCCATGCAGGTGCAGGTTCCCAAGCCCTTGGGACATCTCTACTGCCTTCCCAGGCTACAAGCAGGGAGTTGGATGGGAAGTGGGCAGCCAGGATATGAATCTATACTCATAGGGGATACCTACACTTAAGGGAGAGGTTTAGCCAGTTGCGCCATTGTGCCAGGTCTATAAATACGTCTTTCTAAAAATCTTTTTGAGAGCTCACCATTGCAGCCGCTTGGGGAGTAAAGCAGCAGATGGAAGATCTCTCTCTTTCCTTCTCTCCGTGCAGCTGCCTTCCCAATACAAATAAATAAATCTTCAAAGACAGAAAGATCTTCCATCCACTGGTTCACTCCCCAAATGGCCGCAATGACCAGAGCTGAGCCATTCTGAAGTTAGGAGCCAAGAGCTTCTGGGTCTCCCATGTGGTTGCAGGATTCCAAGGCTTTTTGCCATCCTCGTCTGCTTTCCCAGGCATAAGCAGGGAGCTGGATCGGAAGTGGAGCAGCAGGGGCACAAACCAGTGCCCATATGGGAAGCTGGCACCACAGGCAGAAGATCAGCTTGTTGTGCCACTGCATCAGAACTCTTGTAAAAAATGACATGTGTTTGTCTTCATGGTAGAGTGAAAGAGGGACTGAAAGAGAGATTGAGATCTCCGGTTCATTCACTCCCAAAATGCCCCAACAGCCAGGGCTATGGCAGGGCAAGGCCAGGATTCCGGAACTCCATCCGGGTCTCCCACAGGGTGCCAGGAACTCGGGGACTGGACTGTCATCCGCTCTCCTCCAGGAAGCAGTAGTGGGCACAGGAATCCAGAGAGGGGTAGCTGACACTCTCAAGAGCACTCCTGTGTGGGTCTAGGAATAAGCATTGGATTGAAGAATTTGATTTAATTTCTCAAAAAGATTTAGTTATTTAGAAGACAAAGTTATAGAGACAGAGGGAGAGAGACATTCTGTCTGCTGGTTCATTTCCCAGATGGCTGTAGTAGCTGGGCAGGCTGAAGCCAGGAACCCTGAATTTCGCCTGTGTCCTCCGCGTAGGTGATGGGGCCTACGTACTTGGGCCATCTTCTGCAAACAGCACCTGTCCTGCGGCCTCCCTCCCTCTCTTTTTCTTCCATTCTTTTCTTTTGTTAAACATTTACTAATTTAAAAAAAAACACATTTATTTATTGACTTATTCACTCCCAAGGTGGTTGTAGTGGCCAGGGTTGAACCATGCTGAAGTCAGGAATTTCTTTTGAGTGTCCCATGTGGATGCAGAGACTCAGACACTTGGAAAAATCTTCCAGTGCTTTAGCCAGGCCTCTAGGGCAATGATTTGCAGTAGCCAGGATATGAAGCATGCTGCCATGGCAGGTGGCTGCTTTACTTGCTGTGGCACAGTGCTGAGCCCTGTAGGCAGACCAGTAGCTGGTGTTTTGCAGTACCTGCTCCCGAGAGCTGGTTTAAACAGGTTTAAAGGAATAGACTGATGCAGCGCAGAGGGAAAGGAATGCCTCAGTAAAATTGCTAAGTTAAATATAATTGGTTAATGTTCCACAGGGCAGGCAAAATCTGTAGGATTAACTTCTATCAGGTTATGAATCATAACAGTTTCTTCAGTGAAACATTACAGGACCATAAACTGTCAGTGTTGTTATTGATAATAGAGTGTTCATTAAATAAGCTGGTAACAAAGTTCTGCATTGCCTTCGTCACTCTGAATAAAGGTAGGCACACATAGGTTCATTAGAAAGTATAGAGAATTTGGGATGAAATATTGCCTCCTAAGCTTAAGCTCAAACTGACCTGAGTAAGGCAGAGATGGTATTGCCACCCTTAGGTGATGATCTCAGCTTCCCTGATTGAGGAAGTCGGTGGGGTTATGACTGGAAATGACATCCCCTCATTGGGGCCAGTTGGAGGGCTCTCGGGTGAACTGAGAAAGAAAAGGCTGCAGAGGGCTTGGAGGGAGCAGGCAGCACAGCAGGCTCTGTTTCCTGGCTGCCTGTGGCCTCGCTGCGGTGAGCAGGGTGGGTGGGGCAGAGCCACCCTCCTGCTGGGGGCAGTGGGTGGCCGTGGAGGCAGCCAGTGGGAGCCTGCCGCCCGGCCTCTGAGGAGCAGACCGGAATCTGGGCCAGGTTCGTGGGCGTTGGCGTCACAGCAGGGGCGTTATCTTTGGCGTGGCCTGCTTTCTCTCTGCTTCTGGGGCGCGGCTGGCCTCGCCTCGGGTGTCCTCGTTGGATTTTCCCCACCTCCTGCGTTCTGTTTTATTGTTTTGTTCCCTAGTGGATCGCACATTCTGGTAGCTTCTTTGTGTGTCACTCCTCCCCCCACCACCGCAAACTTATAGAAATTACCCTTCAGTATCATTGTTTTGAAATTTAAAATCATATGTAGGTCCATATTCATGTATTGTGTCAAATATTTGTTGAGCTTTCTAAATCTGTAGAAATAAGAACCTCTAAGGCAGGTGCCACGGAGTGGTAGGCTAATCCTCGGCCTGTAGCACTGGCATCCATAGGGGCACTGGTTTGGGTCCTGGCTGCTCTGCTTTCCAGTTCCTCTCTGTGGTCTGGGCAAGCAGCAGAGGATGACTGACGCCCCTGGGCCCCTGTGCTACATGGAGACCTGACGAGGCTCCTGGTCCCTGGCTTCATCTTTTTTTTTTAAAGGTTTATTTTATTTTTATAACAAA